AAAAAAATATTTATTTATTTATTTGTGTGTGTGGCCAGCTCAGCCCACCAGGGGGCAGGGCTGGTTGGCATGTGGTGTTGGGGGATTGAACCGTGGTCCCTGTGCTTTGGCTAAGCTTGTTCTAAGTAGGTGCTTTAGACCACTGAGCCATCTCACCAGCCCAAATTTCAGAGTATTTTAAAAGCTAATAATATATTACTTCAATTTTGGGAAAATTTTTAAAAGCTCAGTCTTTTTTGTATGTTTGCTGTTTAAGACAGGGTCTCAATATGTGATTGAGGCTGTCTTTGAACTTACTGTCCAAGGGGCCGGGAAGATGGCTCAGTGGAATAAGCGCTTCCCTGGCAAGCACAAGGGCCTGAGTTCAATCCCTGGTTCCATCAAAAAAAAGAAAAAGGAAGTGAACTCACTGTCCAACTTGCCAGAGCCTCCCAGGTGCTGGGGTTACAGGAGTGTGCCACCACACCTGGCACAACCGCAGCCTTGACACATGTTTGTTTTTGTTTTCTTTTCCATTCATTCTTTTATTTTTGCTGCTTTCTTATAAAGTAGATTGTTTATTAGGTATTTAGTTAGAATTAAATTTATTTTTGTGTCTTCCTTTCTTTGTCCATAGTGGACAGATTTACATTTGGTTTAATGTTATGACTTCACAAAAGAAATCTTTTCTTTTGAGACAGTCTCCCTATATTACCCAGTCCAACCTTGAGCTCACAGTCCTCCTGCCTCAACCTCCAGAGTTGTAGGCTTGGGTCCCTACATCTAGCTTGGAGAAGATACTTATAGGTGAAAAGAAATTTGTAACCTTTTGAATTAGAAATGAGGATATAGATCCAGAAACCACAGCTGTCATGCTCAGCTTTACACACAGTTGGCAGACAATGTTTTCAAAGGACAGGAGCTCAGCTGAGCCTCCTGACCTCACTGAGCTGCAAGGACAGGGTCTGCAGTGGAGTCTGCTGTTCAGCCGACGGATGCCCAGGGTGGTCCCAAGCTTACAAGACGTTACATTTCAGAGTGTCAAGTGGTGTTTGTTATAAAAATATTTTTGGTACAAAGTTTTGTTAAGATTCCATAGTTCTTAACTCCTGGTCTAAATTGTATTTTAAGCAGTTTGTCAACTAAAGTAAAGTTAACCTAGAAGAGGAAAAAATATCTCTTGAATCCTCTTAAATAGGCTGGAAACAAGCATCCTTTATCTAACGGGTGCGTGCATTTGCTGATGGCAAGTAGGAACAGGAAGTGTGAGAACAGCGTACATAGAGGCCGGCGTGTACTCACCTGTTTCTGGTTTATACGACCAGCAATGGCACTAACATGCGTACTTCACAGATCTTGTTTGAAAAGTCAAATATGTGAGTTCTGTTTTCAAAGACACTTTAGCAGCTTGTCATAAAAATCATTTGTAATCACTGTGTTTATAAATGGTCATCAGTGCAACCTCAATAATTGCTTCGGAAATGCTGGTGTGCAGTTGTCACAGTACATTTACATTTCCAGAGAACCTGGTTGTTTACCATCTGAGCTCAAAATCTATTAAAAGTATGTTCCATGATTAGGTTTTGAATTTTTCCTGAGGCAGTGCATTTCTACCACCATTAAGGGAACTCTTGGCTTCAGCATCATCAGTGTACACTTCATACTCAAGAAGTTCCACATTTAAAAAAAATTTTCACAGGGGCCAATGACATAGCTCAGCAGTCTATAATGTGCCTGCATAGGCAGTGCAGGAACTGTGGTTTAATCCCTGGTACCATATGCCTCACCAGCCCTGCCCCCGGGGTGGGCTGAGCTGGCCACACACAAAACAAACTTATAAATAAATAAATAAACAAACAAACAAACAAATAAATAAATAAAATAATAGTAGCAAAAGGTAGCAGGGCAAAAGTGTTAATACCCAGTGGTGGCTCTGCCTGTGTATTTTTTAAGTGTCTTGGGACTGTTTAGTTTGTTTTTGTACTTTGAATAGGAACTCTTCCCTTTTTGTCCACCTTGCTATTCTTTTTAAAAAATTAGCCATCCTATAGAAAGGCTCTGTTTGGTTGTAGTGGATAAACTTCCTAATCTTTAAGACACAACAAAAAGTTTCTATCTTTCTTAAAATCAGAGCCATTTCCCTCTACTGTCCCAAATACTAGCATTTATTTGGGGAGGGTGGTTTGTTTTGGATTTAGTATTTTGAAACCGGGTCTCAGAGTGGCCTCCAACTCTTGGTGATCCACTTGCCTCAGCCTCCCAAGTGCTGAAATAACAGGCACAAGCCATCAAGTACTGCTTTCAGGCATTTATTTATGTGGCATAAAACATGACCCTCATAAGGATTGAAAATGGGAAGTATGTAGATGTTCCTGTTTATTTTCTGTTTCAGAATTATCAGTTTGCAAAATTTGATAGAATTAAATACAATTCAGAAAGACTCAGGGGTAAAACTTTAAAGTCAGGAGAAGAGAAAGCTAATTATGGGTATAGGGATTTACTCTTTCATGCTGGAGGTTGTAGGAGACACTTCCAGGTCCTCATCTCGGTCCAAGAAGCCAATATTTGTAATCCCAAAGTTACATTATTGGAATCCCATCAAATTGATTCCAATCTACCACTTACAATGCAACCCACGGCGAAAATAAAGACACTAAATTATATCTTCAATCATCGGGAAGTCAAGGGGCTCTAAGTCCAGCCATGAAGATGGCTTTCTGGAACCAAGAGAGTGATCCAGGGCCTCCCCCAGATTTATTCAGTGGAGGAGCGGCTTGAGGATTGACTTAGAATTGTGGGAAAGAGACTACGATGAGCTGAGCTAGGTGAGTGGCCTAAATTTACCTCTGCGATATGCAGAGAGGATATGCAGAGAGAGTAATCTGCATTATATAGTATCTAATGTTTTGGTAAGTCTGGTGCTTCAGCTTTGGTGTAGCCTTTCAAGCCCCAGGAAGTCATGGCCTCTGTCTTGAGGAACAATCCCAGCTGGCGCCACGGAGCATTAGCTCTACTATCCTGTCTCAACCCGGCTCACATTAAGGAGCAGCAGGTATAGGTTACCAGGGAAACACGCACGCCACCTTCACAGACTATCATCAGCACCTCAGCTAGACCAATATACATTGCTTAAGACCATTTGAAGGATAAACAGAAGTCCTAGCCCGCTCTGTACATAACAATACAAGGAAATAGGGTCAGGCTCAGTCAAAATGGAGACAGTCGCTCTTCTTTCAAGGAGAGCTGCTCGGGTGGTCCTCCACAGGAGGTGAGTGTCCTTTCCATACACGAGGATAACATGTTTTCATGGTGTTCACCCCTTGTCCTACTTTCCCCTCTCTCCTTTCTCTTACCAGCATGGCCCTCATAAAGGGCAGTGTGGCATACTTGTCTTTCTGAGTCTGACGTATTTCA